CCTTGAACTAATTATCAAAAGGGAGGGAAATATAATTTCTAGTACTTGGAAGCTATCCACTAGCCCCTAGTTCTCTATGTATAATTCACACGATCCTAAATATAAAAGCCTTGCTGACACTGGAGGCCTCCTAAAGATTCAGAAAGCCACACTCATTTTTAAAGCCTTTTCCTTTCTCGTTACAGAAGACTCTGAGGTCTATGATATGGAGAATTGGCATTTCATCTTTCAGATGTAAGTGCAGCGTACTCAATTCTTAGAAATTCAGGTACCAGAGAGAAATGGGCAGATGAGAATCAAGTATTGCTTATAGTTATTGAGGTGACATGGTAGAGTACAGAAGAACATTAGGCGGAGCTGGGACAGCAGGCATGGACCAGAGATTTGGCTCTGCTAGAGGTGGGAGTGGGGAGGTGATAAGAGGGAGATACTTATCCTGGCCAGTGTGGCTCAATTGGTTGAGTGTCGTCCCATGCACCAAGATGTCATTGGTTCAATTCCCAGTCAGGCACATGCCTGGGTTGTGGGCTCCATCCCCAGTGGGGGACATGCAGGAGGCAGCTGAGCAATGTTTCTCTCATCAATGTTTCTCTCCCTGTCCCCTCTCCCTTTCTCTCCCTCTCTCTAAACTCAATAAAAATATATTTTTTTAAAAAGAAGAAGGAGATGCTTCCAAGTCTGATCTGGCCCTAAGGGCCTGTGCAGCCTATCTACCATTCATAGAACTTGTTCAGAGTGTAGACACCAGAAGGTAGCAATTCCATCAGAGAAGATGAAGGATGAAGAGAGAGTATGGAACAGGTCTCCTAGAGGAGATTTCGCAATACTTAGTTAGAAGCCATCACCCAGTGGAAAGCTTGGCAGAACAATGACTCCTGGAGTTGCACCTGTGCCCCCCAGGCACAACAGTATGCAGAGCAGTCCTGGGCTGGCTCACAGTGAAGAGCACTGGGCTTTGTTTTCCTAAAGGATGATTAAAATAGGGAAGGGGCTGAATGAATTAATACATATGGAATTTATAAAGCCTCCCATTTAACACATGATCAGAGTGAGGTTGAGAGGATCAGAAACTCATCGTTGGAATTCAAGCTCCCAGGCTGAGCCATGGGCTTTGCTCCCCTTCTGCTGGCTCCTACCTAAAGAAGCCCTGACGCCGTGGCCACCACGACAGAGGGACTGTGGGAACTAGATGCAGTTTCGGCCCTGAATTTATTACCTGCTGCCAGTTTCCATCTGGAATTCAAAAATGAAAGGAACTAATCTGAGATTGATCTACCCCTTTCCGTCTGAAACGAAAGCATTCTCTTTCTCTTTTCTACAGGGCAAAAATAAAAACAAAATACATTTCACTTTCATGTCCAAAAAGATAAAAACATGTATTTCAGACAATTTTAGTAGCTAATTGTATCTCTGAAACAGCTGAGGGAAACCCATTTGGGAACTATTACATTTACTTTAAAATCAAGGAGAAGGAAATGATAGAAGCTCTTGGATTCATTACCCCTTTAATAAGTGTATTTAACCCTCTAGCTTTAATTCTTCTTTACTAAAAACAGAAACCCAAACAGAAGCAATCTGCTGTTTTGGGGAAAACATCCAAGTGGAAATCAAAAGCCTTGGTTCTAGTCTCCGCACTTCTATTAAGTAGCCATTTCATACGACCAGCCACGGGCCAAAATTGCACCAGAATTAAATCCACCATTTCAAAACAAGGTGATTTCTAAAGTTCCTACTGGCTCTAAAATTCTAAGGGCCTATGCATCAATGAGTGACAAAAGTAATATAAAGATTACACCCAAACAAAACCTGTGTTCTTTCAGATAGGTGTTCCTTTGATTAATGGGATTTATGTGAATGATGGATGGATCTACATATCTAATCCTTTTACAGGTATTTGGACAATAGTGTTGTGATTGGAGGCGGGTGGTGGAAGAGGGTACTGGGAGGATAAATGGTGATGGAAAAATAAATAGTATTTGGAAGCTCAAAAAATTTCCAACTGAAATGATGGACAAGCCTATCAAATGTTAAGATCCCTTTTAGACCCCTTTAGTGCTCTTTAACAGCTGAGGAATTCCTTTTTAACGTGATAGCTGGTCTTCACAAACGGCTGGCTCTCAATGAGCCCCGCCCAGTATTCACACCTTTCAGACACCCTCCCACACTGAACCTGGACTGGCCCTGTCACTTGCTTTAACCAGTGCCACTGGCAGTCCTGGGTGTAAGCTGAAAGAAGTCTTGGTTGCTTCCGTTACCATTAGCGGCCCTCAGTCTGAGCACAGGACTGGCTGGCTGGCCACCCCTTTTGCACCAGCACCTGTCTGATGAGTTTGGATTTTGATGTGCAAGGCAGCTGATCGTGCATTTTCGGAAACACTTCTATTTTTGTGTGTCTGGAGAGCCCTGAGCTGCCACTGGTCTCGGTGTCCCACACTGAATATACCAGCATTCAATCCAATGCAGGCCCAGATGCCTCGTTTCCAATGCCATCCTTTGTCCTTACTGAAATGTGTACCTATCAGAGAAAGATAAAAAGCCCTATTGTGGCCCTGGCCAGTATTCTCAGTGGTTAGAGCACCGGCCCAGGCACCAGAGAGTTGCGGGTTTGATTCCCTGTGGAAGGTACAGAAGCTGAATTACAGGCCCAGTCCCCATTGGGGAATGTTCAGGAGGCAACCAACTGATGTGTCTGTATCACATCGATGTTTCTCTCTCCCTCCTTCTTCACTCCCTTCTTCTCTAAAAATCACTGGAAAAACTATCCTTGGGTGAGGATTAACAACAAAAAAGCCCTATTGTGGGTTCTAGATGCCTTAAGAGGCTTATCACCAATATTTTGAATTGTTCCTGTTTGGTATCCCGGAGATGCCTAATGGCTGAGAGACATGCTCGTCTTCTGCCAAGGGTACGGTACCAGAAACCGCAGGTGGAAGCCTCTACAGGTGAGCCCTCAGGGAAGGCAGTCTAAGGACAGTTCCCATGGAAGTTGGTTTCCTTAAGACTTCCATGTCTGAACACTTCCCGGGTCCTCCTGGACAGGGTGTGTGTGCCTGTCTGCAGACAGCAGCCATCAGCATTCCCGTGGCCTTCCAACGCTCCTGGGTTCCTCCTCCTCCTCCTCCTCCTCCTCCTCGCACGCCAAGCTCCTCTGATTTCTCCACTTCTAGGTACTTCTTTCCCCTCAACTGTCCAGCAGCCTGCCCTGATACAGTGTTAGTTGACTGGTAAAAAATTAAAGACAAGACCCTTTTCAGGGAGTTTTTGCATCACAAATGAAACAAAGGAATGAAGATGCAGCAATTAATCTTTGAGGGGAAGTACCCCAGCCTGGCCATTTCTCAGCAGCCAAGACAGCTGCTGTGATCACAAGGATGGCCATGCTCTCTTGCCTGAGGCAAGTCATGAGAACTGGACCACCATCTCTAGCATCACCCACCTAAAAGGCAGACAGTGTTTCAAGAAGAGGCAACAGAAACTCTCTAGGGGAGAACTCGGGAATGGGCTCTGTGATATGCTCATGCTTTCCAGCAAAAATCATTATCCCAATTTCTTCCAGAAAACAAGGAACACCATTCCAATTTCTTCCTTTGTAAAATGGGTTTAACCCTAGCTCGTTCAGAGTGTTTTCTGATTATGAAAGAAGCCTGTCTCGTTGCCAGTGGTTAGCTAACCCTCCTCCCATGTTCAACTTGTTATCTGGATTATGGATACTTATGTATCTCAAGCCTCTAAGAGTTAAGAACAGGGTTGTCCAAGTCCTGAGAGATAAAAAATTTATTGATGTAGATCATATCAGCATGTTATGATATGGCCACAGCTGACTTTTTCTTATAGCCAAGAGGAATTTTTTTTCCTTTTAAAAATACATTTTTTCCCAGCAGGAAGAAACATTTTTAAAACAAACATTTTCATATTAAGTGGAAATTAAAAACAATGGCTTTTTGTTTGGTTTTTCCCCAACTCAGGAGGAATAGGGCTGGTCAGCAATAGATCTCCAAGTGCTTCAAATTAGTTTTCAGGCCTCTGCCCCATTTATTCTTCCTCTTCCACCAGAACCCACGTTTGGGGGGTGTGACGGGCAAGGGGTGGGGGGCGTGGAATTACAGCCTCACCAAATCAGCAGCCTAAACCCAGACAGGAAACAGAAGAGGTAGACTGAACTGTAACTATTTAACCCATTATTATGTAAGATATTTTAATACACTTAAAATTTTCAGTGGGCTCAAACATATTCTACAATTATCGAACCAAAAAGTTTTAAATGCTTAAAACAAAATCTCAGAGATGTCTATTATCACAGTTCACTTTGCGAAATCAAAGCATACAACTTTAGAAATATGCAAGCTTTCCATGCACTTCAGGAAAAGTTGGCTTCTGGCAAATTCTTCAAACATCCAAAGCCCCTGTAGGACTGATGTTAATGCTTTCCTACCCTTAAAAGCCTCTGCCAGGGTAAGAGAGAGGAATTTCCTGAGAGCAGTGAGTAGATTAACTGTGAGACCTTCATTCAACACTAACAGTTCTTTGAACAAAAAAACATAAACTGGAATGTTTTTTTGGGCAGTGGTGTGCTGGAGACACCTCCCACTTGCTCAAGAGAGCCAACTGTTTTAGAATTTTGCCAGTAGTTGTTAAATGGCTGTTATTAAAATAAAATTATATAAGCTTCCCATTGGTGCTAAAGCTAAAAGTGGTTCACTTTAATGAGTGTAACTTGTACAAGGCTAAGAAATAGTCTAACAGATCACATACCAGATTGGATGACAAATTTGAGAATTAAATGGATTAGGATGTAATTCCATTTTTCAAATCATGGTTGGATCACAGTCATAGGCTGGCCAAAGAGTTCAGGAAAAATCAATTAGAGCATTCTGGGAGAATCAATTGGCTATATGGAATTTACAGTAAAGTATATTTTATTTAGATCTGTTAGTCATGTTATAAAATCCTTGCTATCAGCAAAATTTATAACTTATGTACACTTGTATACATAATTTTTCCCCCCAGGAGAGTGAATGCTAACCATTGACCAGTGTACCACTGGACGGAAAGAATCGGGAAGGGGAGAGGGACATAGTTTAAAATGAGAGAACAGTGTGTTTCAGTTTGCCTTCAGCATCCAATCTCCGTGGTGTGTTCTGAGTACACGTCTATAGATGTTAATGCCAAAATAGCTCCAGGAAAACGCAAACACCCCATGCCCACTACTAAGAATTAAAAGCACTTCACTTGAAAAAAATCAACTTTATTTTTTCTAGGTTAAAAAAAATAGAACCAGCTATTAATTTTTGTTGAGAAAATGCTTCTTTTGGTGTTCACATCTCAATTTCTGAAAAGGTAATCTGGTTACTAAAGTAATCCAATGCATTCATAAACCAGATCCACGTGTGACCAGCCCTTTACAAAAATTACAGTTGCCATAGCCTTTACATTCATTCTTATCATACATTACAACATGCAGATACACAAAGAAAGACAGGTCACCAAGCTGAAGTAAACATTATGGCATCAAGAAAACGAAAATCCATCTGTATAAAATAAATACAACTTTGTGATAACTGAAAGAAAATGAAAGCACTTAACACAACAATGGCAGTTCGATGTCTAACTGTTTCATTACCAATCATAAGTTACTGTAAAATGCATCTAGACTCCTTCGTGTAAAGAATTTGTGCACCACAGCCACGTGTTCAACAGTTTTACACAACAAAAATAAAGCCATTCAAAACATGTGTACATATTTTGCAACTAGAAACACTATTTTTTTTTTGCTCTTTAAAGTGTTTTAAAAAAATATTAAATGTAAAAACCCTCAAATGGAAATTTTGCAGAAAAACTTGTATTTTATCTTCCATGTGGCCACAGTCACCCTCCCCCAACAGCTCAGTACTCTCAGCTCATTCCCAGGTCCAGCTCCTCCCTGTTGGGGAGCAATGCAAAACGGTTGCAATAAAGCACCAATCAGAGAACATCCGGCCCCTTCGTGATCTAGAAATGTCCGATGTAGGTGGTTTTGGTCCCAATATATTAGTCTCTACCCCTTCAGACAATGAACCAGTATACCTGCTGCCCAGTGCGGCTTTTGACTTTACTTTTCATGTTGTTCACAGCACTACCTGGCAAAAAATAAGACCAACCATTTGTATCCATCCTCTGTGGACCAGTGCTGGCATGCTCGTCATGGTAACGCTGGAGTGAAGTTCTGTGCAGTGAAGAAAATAACTAGCTCTTCCTATGCAGCAGTGCAAACAAAAATTTTCTTAATACAAAAAGAATCCAATTGGACTATCCACGATTAAAGACTACATCCTATGATTATAACCAGGTCCCACTAGGTCAGAAGAGTCTTCAGGGAAGTGATTGTCAAAAAACGTTACTAAGACAAATCTACACGAAGTGAGGAACATGAGCAAAGACTGAAGAGGCATTCTTAACATTGATCCAAACGATATGAAAACTAGAATATGTTCTGAGGTTTACATTTGGTGATTTAACATTTCATTTTCATAAAAATGCTTGAGAACAACCACAATACCGCCAACTCGTGATCATTAGAAATTCCTTTTCTAGACCATGGGTTACTCAGGCTTCTATGTTTTCTCTTCCTGAAGCTGTCGTTCCAAATCTTTCCACAACTCATCAACACAGTCAAATATATAGGCAAGAGAAGCTAATAAACAACTCACATCATTTTTTAAAATTAGTAAGCATCCAGCAAGGGAAAAAAAAGTTTTATGAGAATGAAAATTCAAACTCCTAAATGCAATCAAATTTTTGGCTTACCATGACTTATTACTGGAATAATTATGCATAATCTCCAGTTCCTTTACTATGGAAAATTAAGGACTATGTGTAATATTAAAATATTACACTCACAGCTATTTTTTAAATATCTATTTAGATTCTCAATTAACTTGTATGACTACCCAAGACATCATTTCCATTCTGTAATTTTTCCTTACCTTCCACTGGCCTACAGGCCTCTCTACAATAACTGCATATTTAAACACCAACAGTAGTTTCTGACGTTAAGTGTGAACTTTTGGGGTGGTCACTTCCGTGGTCGCTACAGCTCCGAGGCCAAGCAGGTGCTCCATCACCGTGACTCTGGGATCCAGCAGAGAGTTTGCAACCCTGTCTGCTGTGGGAATCAGGCAGGACAGCTGAGACCAAGCAGTGCTGAGGTTCTATAAGCTACCGGTATAAAACTGGCACAGTGTTACTTCTTTTCCCCGGACAAAGTGGATATTCGCTAAACCTCCTTTCACTCACTTTACAAAGGAAGTACAGATTAGGGATTTTTACTCAGTTCTGTATAGTGGCATATTGCTGCTTCCCTGATTGCCATATAAGAACACTGATTCGCTCTTTACATTCCCCTGTGCAAACAAGAGAACCTCAGTTACTGATAAGGAAAGCACCAGCAATGCTCTCAAACAGCATGTTTGCTAACAGAAGCGAGGGAACGTGTTGAGAAAGAAACAGGGTTGGGGGGGCAGGGGGGGTGGAATGGGGCAGATCAAACACACATCTATTTACAACTCATAGATCTATATTCAAAATTAACCCACACATCTAGAGGCTGTTGAAATGACTGTGCTTGGAAAGCAAAGCATCTTACAGAACAGTCTGTTTAATGTGTACAGTATATTAAACATCCTCCTCCTTTGGAGCTGTGATGGCAAAAGACACCACATCTGTGTGTGCACGCCTGCATCTCTCTTCTTCCCTGATGGGAGACTGGCCGCTCTGCCTGTGGCTTGCTTTAGCAACGAGGAAAAGGTCATCCTTGCCAATGAACTTGTCCCCCAGATGGCTGACCAATCTCTCAAATGAATCATCCCAATTCACCTTGTAATCTGATAGCATTTGCTGGGCCTCAAACAGAAGTGCCCCTACGCTTCCATGTGGCTTCCTATCTGTATCCGTATCTCTAAATTGAGATTAGTTTCACCTACTCACTGTCACTGTAAAGCACACAATGAAATGCTAAAATTTGAAAAAGTGGCACCTTAGGACAACCATTCCCACACACGGGAACACTGCCTTCTGCGTCTCACCAGCAGTAGTATCATCAATGAGGTATTTCAGCTCAGGCATCATTCTCTTCACACATGCACGCATTAACCTAAGATGAAGCCGCTGAGGGCTTGTATTTGGTGCTGCTTTACCTTTCCCACACAACTGGGAGAAAATTCTTATCTTCTCAGTGTTTTGGTTTTCTGGTTTTTTGTTGTTGTTTTTTTTTTGGTTTATTTAAAAACAAAAAACATCAGCCTTTACCTTTACCTTCCGGCCTTTCTCAGAACTGTCAAATTGTATGATTAGCGACAAAAGGGCAATCTATGATGTCATGTCACAGAAAACCACCACTGACTCACCAGAATCTCAGTCTCACAACCCCAGGCCAGCAGGCGTTCCCGCCTTGATGCTGGGGTGCAGGCGGTGACCACGGTGACTGATGCAGGGCCAGCACTTTGTGAGAAGTTTGGTTTTACTGTGAGGTAAACTGCATGAACATAGTGACAAAAGAAAAAAAAAGTCTTCTAGAAATAGGCATGACTTTATCCTCTTCAACAGGAAGAGACTGGGAAGCCTCATGTTCTGGTCTCTCTCCTGGTCACACCACCCTGATATGGGCAGCTCCTTGATGAGACAGGTGCTGGGGGTGCCATGTGACAGCCTGTCCCCATTTTAAGCCAGTGTCTGGCTTTAGCTTTTATTTTTCTAACAAATTAGCCTATTTCACCGTATAGTGATCATTTAAGTGTTTTGCATTAATTTGTTTCAACCATCCCCAAATGCAGTTGGTGCTAATACACCAAAATTAAAACAAACAAACAAACAAGAAAACAGCTGGAGCCCCCCCGCCCCCGCCCCCGGTGTGGTGCCCAGCTCAGGGAGGTGCTGGAGGGCAGGAGCACAGGTAAAACACGCAGACAAGACAGCCGCGCGAGTCCCACTCACTGACTATGTGTAGACTGGTTTCCAGGCTATACTACTAATCCTCTGCTACAGATGCAGCTGATGAAAGTGCATTTTGTAAAAGAAAATGATCAATCTATGATATGCCTTCTATATAAAAGGAGAAATCAAGTGCCCTCCCCTCAACACACACACACACACACACACACACGCGGAAAGCACTAGCGCATGTAAACACGGTGTCGGGCCGAGCCTGCCTTTTGAAAGAGCCCATTCCAGGACCGGACGTGTCCAGTGGACACTGATTCCCCCCCACAGCATGCCTGACTCCGGACTCACTAAACTGGTGAGGACTGGAGCATCGCTGCAAAGGACAGGGCAACAGTTCTTCAGAAGGTGCCAACCAGCCCCTCTGGAGGTTCCTAGTGACACAGCAGGAGTGGGCAGTGAGGGCGCTCACAGCACTGCCCTAAGGGACACTACTAGCTAGGAGGATGAGCTCAGCTCTCTGAGCTTGAACTAGGTGATCAAGTATCTGCTGGCAACAGAATTTCTCTGTCTTCTAGGATGATTTTATGATTTCCTCTTCTCCAAATGTGATGTTAGTTTAAATGTGTGGTAGAGTGTATCTTTTTAAAACATGAAAAGTCCTTAAAACATATTAGCAGGTCATTAGATTACTGATCCTCATTTTAGCAGAGTTTTAAAATATCCCAAAGCGGGATAAATATTAATCCATCCATGGAATTTCCTTTGCTTGTTTTATATTCTGATTTGCACATGTGAAATAACGCACTCATGAAAGTTGGAATTCCTATGGTGACCTTGACAAGTCCAAGTCAGTTCCTAAAACAGGCAATGGTAAAAATACTGGAAGATGTTGTACCACATGTAGCCTGACAAAAATGCAAAAGACTGGATGAGAAAGATCCACATATTGCTGAGGGTCATCTCCCTGGAAACAGCTTCCCTGTGGCCCTGGGCAGGTGGAAAAGCCCCTGAAAAACAAGATGGAAACATCACTTTGTTTACTGCAGCGGTAGGTCTCCTGGAGTACAAGTTGAATATTAGTTTTAACTAGAATTTTTTTAAGGCATCTTCTGTGACTTCCCATTGTTCTTGAAGAGAGATTGCATTTGAAATACAATTTTCAACCTGCCTGAGCCTCTGCCTCTATTCTCTCTGCCTGGGGTGCTCCTCCTCCATCTCAGTGAATGGCTGGGGCATCTGCATTCTTCCAGTATCAGAAAAAATACCGCCTCTCCCTGTCCCCCATGCCTACCCCCACTCCCGTCACCATCACCTCCACGTTTATTTTCTTCTTGGCACTTTCCGCAATCTGTACTATCCCCACCTATGTCTTCTTTTCCTACAGACTGTCTTCTGCGGGAGAATAAGCTGAATGAGAGCAGCACCCCGCGGCCTTGTTTCCCACTTTATCCCTAGAGATCTCCACAGTGGCCAGGACACAAGATGTGTGAAGTCGATATAGAATACTTTCCGAAAGAGCATGAACTTACATTCATTCTTCTATTTACAAGTTAAATGTCTTTGCCACAAAAAAGTGGTTGTTCTTTCAAGTATCCAATAGGGGGGAAAAAAAGTAGTTGTAAATCACTGATATTTTCAAAAGGCAATACGGTTTATGAAATATATCTTAATAATAAAAAGAATCATTTAAGTGTTTTGCATTAATTAATTCAATTATTAATTGTTATATAATTAATTAATACACAAAGTTAACAGGTTTCTGGAAAGGAAAGCTAGACCATTTCAGGGCAATATTATCTAAGGTCATCTTGGTAACACTCTTCAACATTTCAAATAGTCTTTGTCCTTGTGGATAATCCCCCAGCTAAGCTGGTTCATGAGGGGATTTGCTTCTCACAAGCAATATACAGAGAGCACTTTTAAGTTTTAAGGCAGTGGTTCTCAACCTGTGGGTTGCGACCCCTTTGGCGGTCGAACGACCCTTTCACAGGGGTTGCCTAAGACCATCCTGCATATCAGATATTTACATTACGATTCATAACAGTAGCAACATTACAGTGATGAAGTAGCATCGAAAATAATTTTATGGTTGGGTCACAACATGAGGAACTGTATTTAAAGAGCCAGAAGGTTGAGAACCACTGTTTTAAGGTCTATTATGCAAATAGCTGTAGACCTCCCATTATTAAAGAGGCTTCCATTATTGTTGTACAATTTAGGGCAAATATCATAAAGCAAGAGACAGATTGAAAAAAAGAGAGAGCTTGTTGGCCTCTTAAGTGCCTCATGCCTTCTTATACATCAATCCTGTCTTATTTTTTAAGTAAAGTGTGAGAGTGAGACCAAGGATTACACACATGGAGAGGGGCATCTTATTAGGAATGCTAAAGACATACACAGTGCCCAACTCCTGGCACATTAATAGGCACTACTCCACAGCCCCAGAATCAGAAAGTTAAGACCAGGAAGGAATCCTCTGGAGGGCAAAGTGAAACAGTCCTAAACCCCAAACCAAAAGTACTAAAGGTAATCACTGTGCCAGCCTGTGCTCAACAGCAGGCCTTGACAGTCTGATTCAGCATGAACTTTAATTCTGTACCAAAAAATGTCTGAGTGGGGAAAATATAGTGCCTTCTGTTCATCGAATATCCCATGGTCATTCTCAAACCTGGAACAACTTTCACTTCACCTCCCTCGCCAGGGTAGCCTCTAGGACAGAGGTGAGGAACGTCCAGCCTGTTCTAGAGGCTACCATATAGGGGCTCGGGAAATCATTTCACCTGACCCTGCCAAGGCATTTGGGGTGAGTTAATTAAATGTTTGGCCAAATACAGCAGGCTAATTTTTTAAGTTGATAACTTTGTATGGCCTCTGAATGATGTTATAAATATCCAAATGGCCCTTGGCAGAACAAAAGTTCCCCAACCCTGCTCTAGAAAATAGGCCTACAAATAGCTATTTGTGAAAGCACCTGGGTAGTGCCTGGAGTTCTACCAACGTCAATTTCCTCCTTTCAAAACTTTCTTCATTCCTTCCTCTCTCCTCCTCCCTGTTATGTCTTTTTCACTGCACTGTAGTTTTCATAAAACATAAAAAATATTAAATATAGAAAAGAGACTTAGGGTAAATAGACTTTTTTCTCCCAAGGAGAAAAGTAAAAGGTTATATCCATGAAAACTAAATAGTGAACTTTATCCCTATATGTTAAAAAAATAAAGCATACTAAAAGTACTTACAAATGATGATGGTATTATTTAAACAAATTACAATGCCAAAAATGAAGGTCATTTGCTATTTTATAAAACAGTGCATATAACTGCATATGTATGATCACAAGTTTCTATATACTGTGTACTCTCTTGAATTAGACCCATTTGTACATGGCTAATGAACAAGTACCCGAATACATTTAATGCAAGTTTGTCTTTATGAAAATTCTAAGATGAAATTCTTAAGTATAGAATACTCTGATTCCTTTAGGATATCTCAAGAATTAAAAAAAAAAAAAAAAAGCTTATCTTGAACTACCAGTAACTTCAGGAAGGTATGTAATAGGATACTGTGTACCTGTTTCATAAAAATGCGATAAGAGCTCCTCTTTTTCAATAAAACGCTGATAGAGCCAATCAGAAAGTTCATCAGTCTCCAGGGGTACATCCTTAATTGGAAAGATCCTAGTTAAGAAAAAAAGAGCAAAAACTACTTTAATTCAGAAGTCAAAATCATTCAGAACTGCAGTTTAGCTCTGGTGACTGAGAAGCTGAAGAAAGGTATGGAATCCTCTTTTGCAAGGGTCGGTTTCTTCAGCTTCTCAAGTTATTTTTTTTTTAAATGTTGATTGTATAACCGAGTTCATTTATTCATTCATTCAAACATTCACTAGCCTATTATATGGTAGGCCTAGTGCTCAATGGTAGAAACATATTATTAGATTATCCTCGATTTACAAATAATTACTGAGAAAAAACTGTCCTCCCTTGTTTGTGTGTTAAGTCGGAATGGTGTTTAGAAAAGATGAAATTTTAAAAGGCAACTCCTTTAGGACACTAGAGTAGTCGAATGCTAGGCCACATAATCCAGCTTTGCCATGTTCTCTTACTGGGAATGTCTGAACTAGACAGAATACCCCTAAATTGGTGCCATTTTGCTAATTATGTCAGAGATAGTGGTTTCATGAGCATAGCCCACTCTTGGCTAGAGCATGATTCTGAAGATGCTGCAACCCTGTCCTGACTCAACAGCAGTAGACTGGGATGATTACTGATACATGCCCCCTGGAGGTGAGAACCGAGAGCCATAGCATGAGGAAGGGCTATGTATGTGCTGACCTTGGGAAAGAGATTCTTTTCTTTTTTGTTTTCCAAATTTGGGAGGAGAGAGGGCTTTCATTTTTTTCCTTTATCAAAACTATTAAGATACAGTAAAAAAAATCTACAAAATGAATGTTTGTATGAAAAAACAGCAGACCCTGTCCCTCTGCCCTTCGTTTCTCCCTCCCGAGAAGAATCAAATTTTACCTCTTTTGGTCAATTATCTTGATATTTATCACCACATTTCGTCTTTAGTTTGGGGGCTTATCTACTGACTCACGATGGAAGGTGAGGATTAAGCTCCTTCTTCTTCCTACTCCCATTACACATGCACATCCTTCTCATCTTCCTAATGCAGTTTGTACAGTAATTTTAATTAGCACAATATTAGACATTGGCATTTTTATAATCATGTAAATATATACAAAGTTAGGCCATGTAGTAAATCATGGCTATTTTTTCTCTCCTGATCTATTTTTGTTCTCCCTGAATTGAGCAGTTACTGATTCAGCCACAAGCTCTTGGCCAACTGTCTAGAATCAATTCTCTAGGTCAAGTCTGCAAACTTTTTCTTAAAGGGTCAGATAAAAAATACAGGGTGTCCCCCAAAAATGTACACACACTTTAACAGCTGATAGCTCAATTTTGAAAATGAAATGTATTTTAATAAATACTGACTTTATAATTATTCAAGGTGTGTGCATACATTTTGGGGGGACACCCTATTATTTACACTTTGCAGACCATAAGGAATAACCTTTGGTAACAGCATTACTACTTTTACTTCCTACTTTCTTTCAGAAATA